TTTGTCCATATACCAGGTGTGTCTTGATACCTTCATACATACATACATACAAGACACCAACATTTTTGTCAAAATTACTACAGTAATGGTAAAAACTTGAGCTTTCATGTTGAAAATCTCAAATTCAAACCCATCATCTGACACACCCAAAAAGGAAAAAAAAAACTACAGTAGATTGAACAAATGTATTAATTATCTTTGCAATTACTACTCAGGAAACATTAATAATTACCCTTGAGCAGTGTTGGAAACTCCTGTAGCTTCAGTTATAAGAAGTCCCCCTTTGGTGGTTCTCTGGGAATAGTATAAGATAGCATGCGGCTGAGGAACATTCCCGTAAGATCTCTGTCTAGTTAACGGCGCCATCACAATTCTAGAAAAACAGAGGTAAATCAAAAGCACCCAAATTACTAACCCAATCAAGGAAAGCCAGTGCATTTTGGAATATTGAACGGAAGTAGTACCTGTGAGAAAGAGTGAAGTTTCCCATTTTGTAGGGAGTGAGAAGAGGAATGGCGTTCTGTTCTTGTTGCTGTTGAGTTTCGACGACACTGTTTGCCATATTTGTTGGTTGCAGGAAAAGCTGTGGGATTTCGATATACCAACTGTGAGTGAGAATGGGAGATGAGATCAATAGGTTATAAAATATAAATACGAGAGTAGGAGATGTTGAGCTTCTTCCTGTGACGATGGCCCTGACGTTTTAGTTGAACACGTTGCTTTTGACCATAAGACGATAGTGGAGGCGGGATTCTCTGACCCCTCAATTTCTGCTTTTCCATTTTTTTATTACAGTGATAAGGAATGACAAAGCTCCTTTAGCTACTTAGCGGTAGCATTTTGATTATTGGTGTCCGACAAGCCGCTGTCCCTTGGCCCACTGCATTATTTCCCCTTGGCCGATTTTGATTATTGGTGTCCGACAATTTCTGCTTTATTTTGGTCATACCATTGCATAATAGATAGGAAGATAATCATTTTTGATTTTTTATTTTATTTTATTTGTATGTTATGTGACTTGAATTAAAAATATTTTATTTCACTCGCATATTATGAGACTTGATTTAAGAATATATCATTTCACTCGTATATCATATAATTTAAATGCAGAATCTTTTACTTCTAATAAAAATAAATAACAACTGGTTTATTTAGGTAATTTAACGCCTACTGCATTATTAGTGTAATTAGTTGATCATAGTGATAAGGACTTTGTTTGCAATTGCATCTATTCGTTTACCAAATACATATAAAAATAGGACATATAAGATTTCTTTTGTTAGTTTTATATTGTAATATATTATAGTGGTAGGTTATTATTATAAAAAATATAA